CAGGAATGTTCAAGGTGAACAAAACCAGAGTAGGAGCCATAAAGTCTCGAAAGTGCCAGCTGAGAACAACAGTACAGCTTGCTGCCTCTGTTCCACAGGTTTTTATTTATATATAAATTATGCCAAATTGCTCCCTTTATAATGTCCAATTCCAATTTCACTTGCAAACTTGTAAATCAGGAGTAGCTCCCCGAAATCAAGGTGCTAAAGAGAACTTAGTTACAGTTGCAGGAAGCTGGGAGAAGTGACTGGGGGAGTTTGTTCCCTCCTTATATCCTTCCCTAAAAAAGCATTATTGGCCACAGCTGGAAGCATGGTAGGCTAGACAGACTTTCTGGCTCACCCCTTGGGGTTTTATGCTATATTCAGTGAACCTATACCAACTGGTAGACTATGTGGAATTGTACTTATTGTCCCAGATTTTTAAAACATAATGCAACTTAGGAACTTATAGAAGTAAAATAAAACATTTAGTGTTCAGACCTCTGATCTTATACACTAGAGACTAATCCTAAAATGGTGCGTAAGTGACATCTGCCAGATTCTGAGTGCTAGCTGTATAAGTACAAAGTTGAGAGTTATTAGTACTGCAGCTCTACCCCAGATTTCTACTGAAATAACAAAGAACAGAAACTTCTTGTGAGAAAGACAAAGATCTGATCACTTGCAGAGCAACTTAACTTAAAGGTTAAAAACCTGTCACCAAAACATTTACCTCTCTTGTACCAGGGTCCGGAACTTCCCTGGATTGGTGGAAAGGAGCTGCTTTCCTTCCTCAAAGCCAAGCTGTACTGGATAGTATCCTCCACTGAATGGGTTGTGACATGAAGTTTGGTCAGACCCCAAATCAACTAGCAGCTCTCCTGTTGTGTCCAGCTCATACACTAGCCTCTCCCTGGGGAAGACAAGGAATGGCGTGTTTGAACAGGAGCTCTCATTTCATATTTTTAGCTCCTCTTTCAGGTGAGCTTCTTCCATCCAGAGATGTTGTTTATAAAGGCATGCCCTTGGCAGGCTAAATCTTTGGTTTAGCAGTCAAGAGGTAGGAAATGATGGTGACAAAGATTTAGATGCAACTTTTATACTTC